TTCCCCTCCGCGGCCTGCATGGGCAGCGTGGTGCTGCTGCCCGTTGCCGTGGTACTGCTGTCCGCCTCGGCCTCTTTGGCCACGGCCACGCCCACGACCGGCCCCGCGACCTCGTCCTCGACCGCTGCCATCATTGGTTGTAGGTGTTGAGAGGAAGCCTCCGCCGTTCTTCTTGCTCCTTGCTCTCGACCGCCTCCTCGACCGCGACCTCGTCCGCCACCATCATTTGTTGTAGGTGTTGAGAGGAAGCCTCCGCCGTTCTTCTTGCTCCTTGCTTGCCACTCCGCATGCGTCAACAATAGGTGATCGTCGACGTTGTTTCGAAAAACACGTGCCCTCTCCTCGTGGGCTTTGAGGCGCCCGATCGCCTCCTCGAGTGTCATGTCGTCGATGTCCCCGAACTGTTCAATCGTGGAGACGATAGTAAGGAATCTCTCCGGTACCGCCCGAAGTAGCTTTCTGACGACGTAGTTCTCCTCCATCTCGCCGCCTAAAGCCCGGATCTTGTTGACGACTCCTGTCAACTTCGTCGAAAAATCGTCGACGTTGTCATTCTCCTTCATCCGGAGAAGTTCGAACTCGGACTTCAAGGTCTGCACCTTCGCGTTCCTCACACGATCCGCTCCTAGGTGCATAGTTTTCAACGTCTCCCATGCCTCTTTTGCCGTTTGCTTCTCTGCGATCACCATCAAAGTCTCTTCAGGAATCCCCTGGTAGATAGCCGCCAACGCCATCTGATCCTTCCTGTGTTCCACGGACGCGCCTGCCGCGGGCTCAATGGCATCCCACACGTCTTGAGCCTTCATGTAGACTTTCATCTTGATCGCCCACGAAGCATAGTTGTCCCTTGATAACGTCGGGTATTGAAGAGTGAGCGAACCCACCTTGGTCGTCATCTTCTCCGAACTCGTCATCTCTTCAGATCTTGGTTGGTACTTAGGCATACACCGCTCTGATACCACTTGTTGGCTTTGAAATAGGATCGGCCAAGTTCAGACCTGAAAACTGGGTACAAAACCTGTAAACAAAGAGAGCTTTGGGCTGATTTTGGGGGGGGTGAAGGACAAGAACAGAGACGTGTTTCTGCAGGAATTTTCTGCAGTTAAAAACCTCTGTTTCTGTTTGATGTACACGAACAGAGAAGGAGCAGAGAGCTATCAAAAGTTTTATTCACGTTCTAAGAATTACAAAGACTTGTTTACATATTTATAACCAATAACTAGGAAACCTATCCTAACTAGTATTCTACTATAATTAGAACTCTATCTAATAACATGGATTCAAAACTAACAATTCTATTCTAACTAGGACTGATTAACAACTCACAGTTATTCCATGAGAGCAACAGGTTGGCCCGTTCAGGAGTACATATAGTAAACCAGTGGTCCTACGTTGCTGTTGCATTCTACATGTCCTATTTATTGTAGCTATAGTGGTATGCCAAGTTTTCAAAGGCTTTAAATAGTATATTGCAGGATCAATTCAATTAGTGAAGTTGCTAATTGAAAGCATCCATGAGTAAATGGTCATCAATAGGAAAGATAAACATAGCAAAAGCTGTAATTTGACGCTAAAGATATATTCCTTTTTTTGTTTGGGGGGTGGGTGGGGAATGGATACAATTTGCAAGCTGTAATAAGCCTAAAAGGGTTGCTACAAACTAATCACTGAAATAGTAATGCATAGGGTGCTCTTTGATGCTCTCTAATTACTTCACTTCGAATTCACATTCTTCCATATAACGGAAGGAGGGAGATGAGGCGAAATACTTGCAAGCGCAAAGGAAGAAACTATGCATGGGCAGCATGAGAACAAGGGTGGTCTCAGGACTATCCTTTTTATCATAGGTGATTGTACTTTTTATGTCTTTTTTTCATTTAGTTCTTGATTGAGTGTTCTTACGTGGCCAATATTTTCAAGGTCATTCGTCTCCTTCGGAACAAAAAAAAAAAATTTAACTGTAGTTCCTGAGAAACTTTGTGCAATGGGTCATGTTTTTCTTCTGCAGCTGATTGATATTATGGATTTCCTCAATCATGTGATTGAGTCCTTTTTCCTCTTGAATTTTTAACATGCCCTTGAAACTTTAATGATCAATCGAATTAAGGTGATTTGCTAAGATTTTGTAACGCTTGTTGTTTTCCTCTTTCCTTCTGCTTTTAAGAGAAAATATGCACCAGTACTAGAAACTTATTGACGAACCAGTAGAGAAGAATACATGACCTAGCTAGCCGCTGAAGTCCAAATGTCATCTGCAATTGCGCGGCTCTTTCGTCTGCAACAGGACAGTTGAACGTTACAAATGGTCCCCCTGTAGAATGACATTTCACTTAAAAACAAATACTAGGATATATGAACTGAAGTTGAATGAAGAATCGATTACCATCAAATAATTAATTTCCTGCAGGTATTTCTAGTAAGGAGAAGGATAATGACAATCGCCTAGCTATTAACGAAATTTGCTTCAACTAATGCTACCAGACAAGAATGCTTAGGGCGGCAAATGAGATGCTTGCTCCTGAGAATAAAATGAGATGCTTGTTACTCCTCTCTTTGCTCGCAGTTTTTTGTTTCATTTCTTCTTTCTCTTGTTTTTCTTGCGGAAACCAGAGGCAATTAATGGAAGAATTCGGTAAAGATGAGAAGGAAAAAAGCATGCAACAAGCGAAGAAGGGTGGCCTCAGGACTATTCCTTTTATCATCGGTGCTGATTCTGTCTAAACTTTCTCCACAAGTATCAAATATCCTTTTCTTTTACTTACAGAGCGGAACGAGTATTTTAAAAAAAATCAAGCGTCTTGTTTTAATTTTAATTCTTTTGCTATCTACAAGCCTAAATGAACCCATGTGCTTTTGGTTTGATTGAACTTTTTGGGATATCGTCTTAACTCCTTGGTGACATTGTTCTTGTTTCTTCTGATGACTACTGTTTAATGGATTTAATTAAGGGCGATGTTTTACCAGCTAAATAACACCTATATACCCTATTGTTTCACTTACTTTTCACTTATATACCCAACTTGTATTTGGCAGCAAGAAAATACCCCAAGGTTTTTTAAATTTGCACTATATATACCTCACTTTTTTCCATGGCACTTAAAATACCCTAAAATTTTTACAACTGACACTTAAATACCCTAAAGTTTTTAAAACTTGCATATATAAATACCCTCAGTTATGCAAACTTGAGGGCATTCAAGTGCAAGTTTTAAAAAATTTTGGGGTATTTAAGTGTCGGTTTTAAAAACTTCTTTGTATTTCAGTACCAATTTTAAAAATTTTAGGGTATATAAGTGCTATCAAAAGCAAGTGAGGGCTGTCTGACTTCTAATCAGGCGATCGTGGGTTCGAGTCCCACCGGGCGTGTTATGTGTTACTCGTATTTTGGGAAGTCAATCTCATGTATGTGAATTTTTAAGGGGCGGTCTTAATGGTGCAAGATAGCGGGCGAATTTGTGGTTGCTATCTTGCTCCCCCGCCGTGATTTCTGAGTGTTTGATGGCGAAGAAGAAGAAAATTAGTGGAAAAAAAATCCTAGAGATTGGACTAAGAGCTTCTACATCGAATTCAGCTATCTCTGAGGAGTATCCTGAAGCTCGGAGTGAAGAAGATGATGAAGTTTTCATTGAAATGGGTTCAACTGGTCCAAAAGGGGAGAAGAAGACTAGATCTATGGTGGAAATTCTGAGCTCTGCCATTCCAGTGAAGGATCGAGTATGTATAAATCGATTACCAGATGATTCCGACGATCAGCTTATGCAGGCATCAGATTTTCTTCCCACTCCTGGATCTGGAAGATCTGCTAGGGTATCATGGGCAGATGAGATGGATAATGGTAAAAACTCTGTTAATTCTTCTTTAAATCATGAGTTTCAGAAATCGCTTAGTGATTCAAGGCATAAATCGATCCTGTCTAGTAAAAAGGTTACTGTTACATTGAATGCGGAAGTAAACAATACTATAGATCCAACTTTAAACAAAGAAAATCCGCTGATCTTGAATAAATCTGTGAATTCTGAGCTGGAAAAGGGGGGAAAATCTGATCCATTGAATACTGGTTCTCCGTCTGATGGAAATACTGAACAGCAAAAGGCTAAGATTTTGGCTGAGGCTAATGATATAAAATCTGATAAAAGCTGGGCTAGTTTGTTTGCAGATAACAGAAAAATAGAGTTTGGGATGAATCTGAACTATATTCCCACTGGAAAAAATGATTCAATTTCGTTTGATGATGATGAATGGAATGAAGATGTTTTAATATGGCAATCTTCACTAGTATGCCAAGTAATGGGACTGAATGTAAAATTCAAGGCTATGGATAATTATGTACAAAAAACATGGAAGAAATTTATGCCGGAGGTCTTCTTACTCAAGCCTGGTATTTTTCTGATCAAATTCAAGAATATTGATGAGCTAAATGAGATCTTGTGTTCAGGACCTTGGTTCTTTGGTTCAAGACCGTTGTTATTAAAGCAGTGGTCTAATGGAGATGATATTGAGAAGATAAATGATAATATATATCCATTATTAATGTTCATCAACCTCAATTATTTCAGTACTATTGATAAACCTCTCCTACATGAAATCAAAGTTATATTATGGTGTTGCGTATATATTTGAGATCATGCCTAATGTTTTTCATTTAATCCCAAGCCTCTTAAGATGCAAATATTTCGTTTGTTAAGAAAATCTCATAAAATTGAAGAAAATAGTTCTCAGCATCTACATTGAACATGCCCTCATGAAAACTTTAGAGTTCCAGTGTAATGATTAGGAACATTAAGACCCAGGTTCAAACTTTGCTGACCCGCAAATTTAATGTGGATTTAGAAAACAATATTATTGCCTCCTGAATTCAGGTTTCAACCCATAGAAAAGGGTGCTCAACCCGCAAGGACATGTTATAATATAAAACTATAACCCTTAATTTTTACCAAAACTTCAGAGTTTTGGTGTAATGGTTAGGGACATTAAGAATGAGAAACTTAAATAGTTATATTCCTCTAGATGTTAGGAAGGAAAAAAAAATCATTTTAAAAATATTTTTTCCTTTAGATATTACAAGACTTTTATTTATTTATTTAGTTTATTCTGTACTTTTTTGATGTCATTTTATATTATAAACTAGTTGTTACCAGTGCAAAGCACGGGATTAGATTAATATTCTTGTATGCATATTACCTTTAGATAAAGAGAGAGGATAAAAAACAGGATTTTTTGGAAAGAAATTAAGATCAAAATGAATAATTTATAGAAAAATGAAAAACAAAGAATATAGATTTCCAAGATGTGAAGAGCAATGGATCAAGATGATGTAGTAAATTTTTTTTTATTAGTTATTAAATATTAGAGCCCTTAGAATTTGCCGAATGGAAAAATATGCAACCAGATTTTTACTTGATTAGCCGAAATGGGTTCAACTGGTCCAAAAGGGGAGAAGAAGACTAGATCTATGGTGGAAATTCTGAGCTCTGCCATTCCAGTGAAGGATCGAGTATGTACAAATCGATTACCAGATGATTCCGACGATCAGCTTATGCAGGCATCAGATTTTCTTCCCACTCCTGGATCTGGAAGATCTGCTAGGGTATCATGGGCAGATGAGATGGATAATGGTAAAAACTCTGTTAATTCTTCTTTAAATCATGAGTTTCAGAAATCGCTTAGTGATTCAAGGCATAAATCGATCCTGTCTAGTAAAAAGGTTACTGTTACATTGAATGCGGAAGTAAACAATACTATAGATCCAACTTTAAACAAAGAAAATCCGCTGATCTTGAATAAATCTGTGAATTCTGAGCTGGAAAAGGGGGGAAAATCTGATCCATTGAATACTGGTTCTCCGTCTGATGGAAATACTGAACAGCAAAAGGCTAAGATTTTGGCTGAGGCTAATGATATAAAATCTGATAAAAGCTGGGCTAGTTTGTTTGCAGATAACAGAAAAATAGAAATTGGGATGAATCTCAACTATATTCCCACTGGAAAAAAATGATTCAATTTCTTTTGATGATGATGAATGGAATGAAGATGTTTTAATATGTCCTCCTAGTGTTTTAGTGAGCATTATAACATATACTACAATAAGTTTATTTTGAAGATGGCCTCTAGGTTTATTTTCCTTGTTGTGTATTTATAGATGTAATTCTGACTCATATCAGACTTTTGAGCTGCAAGTTCAACTCTAACAATGTATATTCTTTTGATCAGCCTTTTTCATATGCTTTATCTATTCTTATGTGCTAGTGTTGTTGGTTTTATTTTTTGCTAGAAGGGGTGATGGCCAGGGTCCTCTCCTCCTTCCCAGTTAATTAGAACCATATCCCTAACATATAATAATTGTTAGAGCATATATCTTAGGCTTATATAATAACTCTTTTGAATAGGACACATTGCCCTGTTTTTACTTCAAAAAAAAAAGAAGCTTTGGAGTTTGGCAGAAAGGTAATAAAAGTAAAGTTGGGGTTTCGCCTCCTAACTTCTCTCCAACATGTTCCTCAGATAAGAAATAGATTGCCCTAAAGAAGAGAAGGAACTTGAGGGAGAAGCTCCCGTGAGAAAGTGGATATCTGGTATAGTGGATTGGCTTGTATTGGTGCTCTGGTGGTCGTGTAGCCTCAAAACTTATGTCTTCAATTCCTCCCTCTTTCTTGATGGTGCTTCTAATCATCCCCGCAGAGAGTGTAGCCCTCCTTTTTTCCCTCCTCTCTCTGGATATAGGGGTTAGATGTCTGTTTCGAAAGTGGAAGCCTCTCTATTTGTTGGTAAGGTTAGGTGTGATAGATTAACTTTGTAATGACCGTGAAATTTTTAATACTAGTTTAAAATAATTTTTCTGGTATTTTGAAATATTTAATTATTATTTTTAAAAGAGTATTTTTATTTTCTCGTTTTCCTAAAAATTTCTACGATTAAAAGTCTAATTTTATAAAATTATTAATCATATTTTAAAAACAAGCTTATACCCTAACCCTAACCCTAATCTCCTTGCTACTGACAGATTGACTGCAAACAAACAGCGTTTGGCTTATGCGAGGGTGCTAGTTGAGGTTAAAATACCATCCCCACTCCCTGACAAGATCATCATTTTAGGTCCTAATGGAAAACAGTACATTCAGAAGGTGATTTATGAATTTAAACCTAAGTGGTGTGATTCATGTAAACAGGTTGGACATGACACAAAAACCTGTAGGAGGAGAGTGCAAACTCAAAAATGGATTCCTAAGCAAGGCCAGTCTCAAAAATCTGATGATGTTGGGAAGGAAAAAGCTATTATTGAAAATGATACTACAATTCCTTCAAACACCAGTTATCAGGAAGTGCATAATTCTGATACAGGGGGTGAAAGAAGTAATTGTTTGATAATTGAGAAGGCAAATGTTAGTGAGAGTAAAAATACAGCAAACTCAGAACAGCAAGTAGTGCATAATGGTGAGCATGTTGTGCATTCAGAACAGCAAGCAATGCATAGTGCTGTGCATGCTATGCAGGTCAGGGAAAATATCACAGGTAGTATCTGTTCTATGGGTTCTGCATCAGGGAATAAGCCTTGGATTCATGTTCAAAAAGGTTTAAAAATAAGAATATCATTCCTGGAAAATCTTTTACTATTCTGGATATCTTGGATATTGATCCCTCTACATTAGATAGAGGGGGAGAGTAATGATGAATCTTGCCTTTTGGAATGTTAGAGGATTAAACAAATCCTCTAAACAACACTTGGTGAGAAACTTCATATCCCAATATCATCTATCCTATATAGCACTTCTTGAAACAAAAATAAAGAGTGGTAAACTTCTTCAGGCAGGAAAAAAAATTGCAGGAAATTGGAATTGGTATTCAAATGTCAATAATCAAAGATCAGCCAGGATTTTAATCATGTGGGATTCACAAAAATTGGATGTTCAGGTTATCTCCATGTCTGATCAAAGTATCACAAGTAAAGTGGTATCTTCTGATGGGAGAACAGAATGCATAATTACATCTGTATATGGCTTTAATCATTTGGTGGCTAGGAAAGGGCTATGGAATGAATTGAAGGCTATACAGCAGTCATTGAGAAATGAACCTTGGATCATGTGTGGGGACTTCAACACAATTATAAATGGTGAGGAAAAGCTGGGAGGTGCAACTGTCACTGAATCTGAAACAAAAGACTTTGAGGATTTTATTGAAGACTATCATCTCAATCATCTTAAAACAACTGGATGTTTTTACACATGGAGCAATAAGCAGGATCAAGACACTAGAGTGTGGTGCAGATTGGATAGGGCCTTGGTGAATGATTCATGGTTAAACATGTTCAATGCCAGTCAGGTGGAATTTCTACTTCCTCATTTTTCTGACCATTCCCCTGCCTTGGTTTCTCTTTTCCAGGAAAGTTCAATTGGGAAGAAGCCTTTCAGGTTCTTCAATATGTGGTCTAAGCATGATAGCTACATCCCCACTGTATCTAATATCTGGCAAACAAAAGTTAAGGGATGCAAAATGTTTACAGTCTGTAGGAGGCTTAAGCTGATGAGAGCTGCTCTTAAGGAGTTAAACAAAAAGCATTATTATAACATCAGTGAGCAGGTTATCAGAGCCAAACTAGCTCTTGATGAGGCTCAAAAAGAAGAGATAAAGAACACTATTTTTTCAATGGATGAGAACAAGGCACCTGGGCCAGATGGATATGGTGTTGCATTTTATAAGTCTGCTTGGCCAGTAATAGGGGAGGAGGTGATGCTAGCTATTGAAGAATTTTTCAAAAATGGGAAACTGCTGGGTATGATTAATTCTACTGCAATTACACTTATACCAAAGAAGAAATGTCCAGTATCCCCAGCTGATTTCAGGCCCATATCCTGTTGCAATTGCATATATAAATTCATTTCAAAAATCCTTGTGAATAGGATTAAACCAATTATGGGGAGTATTGTAAATGGAGCACAGAGTGCTTTTGTCAAAGGTAGACAAATCACAAGTAACATCTCCTTGGCTCATGAGCTTGTTAAAAGTTATAGTAGAAAGAACATATCCCCAAGAATCATGATGAACATTGATATCAGGAAAGCATTCGACACAATAAGTTGGGACTTTATAAGGATGATGCTGGAAGGATTGAAGTTTCCAAAGAAATATATTAGCTGGATAATGGCCTGTATAACTTCACCAAGATTCTCTATATCTCTGAATGGTTCGCTGCAAGGCTATTTTGAAGGAAAGAGGGGCTTAAGACAAGGTGACCCTTTATCACCATACCTCTTCATACTTGGGATGGAGTACTTATCAAGGAGATTAGAGATGTTAAATAATGACAGGATGTTCAAGTATCACCCAAGGTGTGGAAATCTCAAAATCACACATCTCATCTTTGCGGATGACCTGCTACTATTTGCTAAAGGTGATTTTGTTTCAGTCCAAAAATTGTTTCAATGTGTTAGAGACTTCAGTGCTGCAACAGGTTTGGAAGCAAACATGGAAAAATGTTCTATCTACTTTGGAGGGGTTGATGATGCAACCAAAACACAAATCAAAAATTTTCTGGGGTTTTCTGAAGGAGTTATACCATTCAAATATTTAGGGGTTCCTCTCATCTGTAAGAGGTTATCATATGTGGATTGCAACCCATTGATAGATAATATTACAAATCAGCTCAAGAAGTGGACAAGACATTCAAATCTGTCATATGCAGGAAGGGTTCAAGTGATAAAAAGTGTGATTTTGGGTATTCAAAACTATTGGACGTCAAATTTCATTCTGCCAGTAAAAGTAGTGAAGAAGATTGATGAAATATGTAGGCAATTCTTATGGGGAAAGACTGAAAACTCCTACAAAACTCCTTTGGTCTCTTGGGATAAGGTGTGCTGTGGGAAAAAGCAAGGAGGATTGGGAATCTACTCTGCATATTCTTGGAACCTGGCAAATGCTATGAGGAGCTTATGGTATATACATATAAACAAGGAAATACTATGGGTGAAATGGATACATGGGAACTATTTAAAACATGGAGATGTATGGAATGTCAGAGCTAAAAGTGGAGACTCCTGGATGTGGAAACAGATCCTCAGGTGTAGAGATAAGGCTTTGAATGAAGTTGGGGGTATTGACAATCTGAAACTTTTGCTTGGTAACTGTTACATAAACTCTAAAACCAAGTTGTCAGCAGTATACTCTGCTTTCTCTCCTGAAAAACAACAAGTTCCCTGGTTTAATACGGTATGGGGGAAACTAAATTACCCTAGGCACTCATTTGTGCTATGGCTTGCAGTAATGAACAGACTTCAAACACAAGACAGGTTGTTAAGAAGAGGAATTATCAGTACAAACAGATGTCTTCTGTGTGCAGGAATTGAGAACAGAGAGCATATATTCTTTGATTGCAGTTATTCAAGAGATGTATGGTTAGCTATCATCAACTGGCTTAAGTTTGATTGGCAAACATGTAATTGGAGTATATTGTTGAACTGGTATAACACAAGGCAGATGGGGAAAGGATTCAAGAAACAGATTAAGAGACTTGCTCTTGCGGCTACTGTGTATAGGATTTGGGAAGAAAGGAATGGAAGAAGCTTCAAACAGAGGTTCAAGAGAATAGATCAACTGGTGAAGATCATCAAAACAGATATATACACAATCTGTTTAAATAGTCAAATTTCAGATGTACATAAAGATTGGCTGATATCTCTATGATTCAGCTATTTTCTGTTTTTTGAAACAGTTTCTCAACGTGAGATAGAGATGTACATAATTTCCATATTTTTGGTAAATGAATAAAATTTTTTCATTGACCAAAAAAAAAAGCAAGTGAGGGTATACAAGTGCAAGTTTAAAAAACCTAAGGGTATTATCTTGCTACGAAATACAAGTGGGGGCATATGAGTGAAAAGTAGGTGAGACGATAGGGTATATAAGTGCTATTTAGCCTATTTTACCGACAGTTTCTCAATATATAATTAGGAAGTTTTAGTGAAGAATATCAATAAACTGCAGCTATAATTACTGAATACTTATGAGACTGTTCAATGTTCTTTTCTCTCCAGCAAATGAAATCTTTGAGAAGGTTGCAAGCCAAGGGCTTCTGGCAAACATGATCATATACCTCACAAAAGTTTACCATATGACCACTGCAACCGGTGCAAATGTTCTCTTAATATGGTATGCTCTGTCTAATTTCATGCCCATTTTCGGCGCTTCCCTCTCTGATTCCTACTTTGGTCGCTTCGGAGTCATTGCACTGGGATCATTTATAAGCTTAGCTGTAAGAAAATTCTCTCCTCTCCATTTACATTCTTACTATAATTTATCAGCTACATCTATAAATTGATATTATGTGCTGTTCAAAGGGAATGCTTCTTCTGTGGTTGAGTGCCGCTCTCCCGGGAGCCAGGCCTGCAAACTGTGACGATTCCTCTGGAAATTGTAATTCTGCCACTTCATCTCAGCTTGCGCTCTTGTTCTCCTCTTTCGCTCTTATTTCCATTGGAGCTGGAGGCATCAGGCCTTGTTCATTAACCTTCGGCGCTGATCAATTGGAAAGGAAGGATGATCCACAGAACGAGAGGAAACTGCAATCCTACTTCAATTTTTATTATGCATGCGTTGCAACCTCCATCATCGTTGCGGTTACTGTCATTGTTTATGTACAAGATCTAAGGGATTTAATGTTGGATTTGGCATTCCGCTAGTGTCACTATGATGATTGTGACGCCGCCGCATTTTGGCAGATATCCTCTTTATCGAAAAGTTAAACCGGATAAGAGTTTGTTCTCGGGTTTTTCTCAAGTATTTGTAGTGAGTGTGAAGAATCGTCGCCTTTCATTGCCACCCAATACTACGCATGGGTGGTATCATCACAAGAAGGGTTCTAGTCTCACAGTCCCCTCTGACAAGTTGAGGTAAACAAACTTTCTCCTCTTTACAGTTGGCTCATTTTGTTAGAAAATAAAATCAGGGTTAATTGCGCGTATACAACCAGTAGCTAGTGTCATTGTTTTGGACTTACTACCTTGGTAATGTCATTGTTTCAGATGGACCCCCTGGGTTATGTTTTATGGACTCTTTTAACCTCCAACTTTAGACATGCTAATTTTACCTTGGGGCATGCCAAAATGTCACCACTGGTAAAAAAAAAAGCAAAATTAAAGCAGGGTCTATCCGGCTGCATGCAACAATTAATGAAACCACAAAGGTAGTAAGTCCAAAACAGAAATACAACAGCGTGTCTATGTGCATATTAACCCAAAATAAAAGCATAAACCCTAGGGCTCACCAAAACTTTGGAGTTCTGTTGCAACAGGCTGGGGCTTGTTAGCGTATAAAACTAAATCCTCAAACATCATAACAACTTTGAAGTTCTAGTGTATTGGAATGAAGTTTTAACTCACACATATCATAACTTCACGTCGAACATTATTGCAGGTTCCTGAACAAAGCCTGCATTATCCGAAACCCCGAAAAGCAACTAAACCCTGATGGTTCAGCCATCAATCCATGGACCCTATGCACGGTCCAGCAAGTAGAAGACTTCAAATCTGTGGTCCGTGTTCTGCCCCTCTGGTCAACCTGCATTATACCCGCCGTGGTCATCAGCCAACACTCCTTCCCTGTGGTCCAGGCCAACACCATGGACCGCCACGTCAGCCGTGAATTCCAGATCCCTGCAGGATCCTTCGTCGTCTTCGGAATCGTCACCCTAACCCTCTGGGTTGTAATCTACGACAGAATAATCGTCCCTCCGCTCTCCAAGATCACAGGCAGGCCTCGTGGTTTCAGCCTGAAACAGAGAATGGGTATAGGATTTTTCCTCTCTATTATCGCTACAGCAACTGCTGCATTAATTGAAACAAAACGACGACATAAAGCTATTGATCAGGGACTGCAGAACAATGCGAAGGCTATAGTCGACATGTCTGCAATGTGGCTTATCCTGCAGCATTGCCTAACCGGACTATCTGAGGCTTTTTTCATTATTGGACAGATTGAGTTCTACTACTCAGAGTTCCCCAAGAGTATGGCAAGTATTGGGGTATCATTGTTTGCTTTGGGGATGGGGATTGGGAATTTGGTAGGGAGTTTGATCGTTTCGGTGCTCGAGAGAGTTACAGGGAAGAATGGAGGTGAGAGCTGGGTTGCTGATAATCTGAACAAAGGGCACTATGACTATTACTATTGGCTTCTTGCAGTGTTGAGTGGGGTGAACTTCTTCTACTTCTTGGTTTGCAGCTGGATTTATGGAGAGGAGGGATTGAATAAGGTTCATGCAGAGAAGGAAGATGATGTTGATGATGATGATGATCATACAGCATTAGGAGATGAGATGCTTGAGAAGTCCCCGAAGATTTCAGTTATCCTGTGAGCTTCTTGGTTAATAATCAGCTGGTGTTGGTACTTTACTTGATCATTATTAAATAATTCTTGAGGGGGACGATTGAAAATGAGTACCATGCATTAAACTGTTTAGGGTTTCCCTCTCTTTGCCTAATCATAGGTAGTGATAAAACAGTGGATTCAAATGTTACGAAATATGACATACAGTTGTGTGTTCCCTTTTATTTGTACAGTTGAGGGTTATCTGGTTTAGATCCTATTTTCTGATGGCTTTGTCTCTCACTATATTAATGTTGGATGCCGTTTTGACTCGCAGATTATTTTTGGGTTAATTGAGGATAGACCCCCACGTAGTATGGCCCATGTGCAGATAGATCCTTATAGTTCTCATTGTGCGGATAGACCCTCCTGCTATTTTCCCAAGTGTAGATAGACCCTCTCATTGAAGTTTTTTTTTACGAACAATTTTTCACTTTAGCCCTTTTAAATTTTTTTATTATTAAAATCGACCCTTTTTTCTTTTATTTATCAAAACCGACCCGATTTCTTGATTAGCGGCTTAATCACATTCCTAATTAGTCGGGGTTGCCAACCCCGACTATTTAGGAGGGTCTTAAACCCTAATTAGAAGCCCTAAATCCTAAAAATTAATTTCCTAAATAGTCGGGGTTGGCAACCCCGACTAATTAGGAATGTGATTAAGCCGCTAATCAAGAAATCGGGTCGGTTTTGGTAAATAAAAGAAAAAAGGGTCGATTTTAATAATAAAAAATTTTAATAGGGCTAAAGTGAAAAATTGTTCTTTTTTTTTACTCCTTTAAAAGTCAAAAAAAATTAGTAAATGAGGGCATGTCTACACCAATAGAGCCGCAGGGGGTTTCTGTCTCTACAAAATATTATTACTCTTCTAAGAGGATTTCACACTGGGGATCCATCCGCACAGTTAGAACTACAAGGGGTCCACTCGCAATTGAATGATACTACAGGAGGTCTACCCACAATTGAACGATACTACGGGGCACTTATCTGCAATTGAGCTATACTACAGTGCTAACGAGAGAACCAAGCTTTCTGGCTATAGTGGGAGTGAAAGAACAAGCTGGGATATTGTGGAATTGAACTCATATATTTGTAGTGTTGAATGTGATTTCCTCTGCTAGTTTGTTCTTTCACCTTGTATTGTGAGGATCAACTCGTTTTTGAAGGACCAAGACCCATTCAAGAGGATGTGTTTCAGATTTCATTCTCCCTGAAAATAGGCAAAACTCGTCCTTGATAAAGCTTCAGAGATGTTGACTTTGTCTGGAAAGCCCAAAGCATCAAGAATATTGTTCTTGATGCTATTGAGAAGGTTTTGTCTATCAGAAAAATAAAAAGGAGAGATCTTTTTTTGGATATAGGGTATTTTTATTATCCTCATCAGTGATGATATATAGCTCTATTTTTTGGACATTGATGAAAGAAAGAGACTTTAGTTTGGTGATAATGGATTTAGTGTCATCATTCATGATGATTTGGTGGCGGAGTAAATGGGTATATGTGGGTGAAATTAAAGTCAGAGCAAAAAAATAAACAGAGGACTAAGAAGGGGAAAATAGGGTAGGAAGATAAGAGAGAAGATGAGGAAGTTTTATGGGAATGGGTTTTTAGGGATGGGGGGAGGGAGAGAATTTAGAGGAGAAAAGTGTTGTAGAGGAGGAACTCAAAGAGAGGAGAAGCTCTGTGAGAAAAATCACTAGAGGTGAGAGAACCAAAGAGTTCAGAAGTCTCTATTTTTAACTTCCAAAGTAGCTTTTCTTTTAAAAAATTGTATCTTGCCATCCTCCTCAAGGTTTGAGCTCTATTCGATGTAACAATATTACACTATAGCTTCATCTATAACCTGTTGCCACAATTTTTGTTTTCTGGTGGCTACACTTTTTCAACTAAGCAAATCCTCATCAGCGGTGCTTCCCCCTGTGACTATTTGCAACTATGCGGCCACCAGACTATAGATTCAATCTAACACAACTAGGCAAGGACAGATCAACTCTAAATAGACAACGAACTAGGCATCAAATGATCATCTATAAGCAAAATAATAAAGTGTATGCTATGAAAAAATATGTTCTCGAGCTTAAATTATGCATTCACTCGGTAGTTTGTAATAATTTTGATAATAAATTTTTAGATTTGAACTACTTGTCCTAATATATTTTTAAGTTTGAATTATGATATTCGGTACTAGGACATGCTAGTGTTTCAAAAATAAAAGAAACAATCATATTGAACTAGCTGTCTATATTATCTAAGGTTCAATTGTCACCATGTGAATATTGTTTAACTAGTAAAATGACTAGGAAACCTTTTATTGGCGGAGAAAGAGCCAATAAACTTTTAGGGTTTGTACACTTGGATATTTATGGTTCCCTAAGTGTTAGAACTCATAGTGATAAAGAATATCTTATTACTTTCATAGATAATTATTCTAAATTTATACATGTCTATCTTATCTCTAGAAAATTAGAAGTCTTTGAATGGCTTAAGAGATACAAGACAGAAGAAAAAAACCAAATTGAAAGGAAAATTAAAATTTTAAGAACTGATAGGGGTGGGGAATATGACCCTAAAAACTTTTTAGAGTTATTGTATTCAACATGAAATTAAAAGATCCACAACAATTCCATATACACCATAATAAAATGGTATTGCTAAAAGAAAGAACATAACATTGCTGAATGCAGTTAGATGCATATTGTCTCATTCTGATCTCTCCAAAAAAATTTGAGGAGAATCATTATTTACTGTAAGTTATATTTCAAATAGAATTTCTGCAAAGTCAGTTATTATATTTTATGAGTTATGGAATGGGAGAAAACCTAATGTGAGTCATCTCAAGAAGTGAGGATCTATATAGCCCATTGTTCTCATTCCATACCAAAATAGAGATCAATTAAACTTTATAATATTAAAGTGTAGAATCATATGGTATTTAAAAAAATTAAAAGGTTATAAGTTCTATAGTAAGTGTTGATGTTAAGCGATCACATAGTCAGTATGTATCCATGGTTGAATGAGGTCGATGAGATTGATGATGGACCGCTTTCTTTCATGATTTTATGTATTGTTCTTTGAGTTAGGGTGGTTGAACAATCTGCACAAGTAGAAACACGTAAGAGGATGGGGACTGGTTCTCCCGTGGTTCCTCTGACGATCAAGTCAGCTAATAAAATTGAGTGAGGAAAATGAAGAATCGTGAGAGTTCTTGTATGTGTGCAATAGTATGATTTGCAGATCTGAGGGTTCTGTTTTTCTAGAATAGTACCTCTATTTATATTGAGAGCACAAGGGCGGATCAGTCACTTTGGCCGAGCACAGTAGGACGGTAGTGGAGCATGAGCTGGTAGCTGCGTCAGCACCTACTTTATAGTGTCGGCTGGTGATTAGGGGGAAAATCAATTCAATATTAATCGGGAAGTGATCGCACGTATGGCGGTGCTGACGTGACCTGATGAGTCATGAATACTATTGGGACTAGAGGTATGATGATGCCTACCATGCATTAACTGTGACGTGAACATTGTCAGTGAGGGAGGCTCGAGCTAGAAGTTAACTTTTTAACTTCGCCGAGAAGTAACACCTTTCGAGTCGTCACGGGAGGAGACATCAAATAGATGGTCGAGTGGGCTCATAGTGAGTCATCAATGTGATGCCCTGGGTTCACACAAGGCTGTAGTCCAAGATGAATCCAAGAATATCAAACCTGCCATGTACCAACACCGTGTAATCACATATTTCACCATCATAGTTACTATCTCTCTGGTGGAATTAACAAACATGTGAAGGTACAAAACAAGCAAAGAATAATAAAGAGTACAACGAACAGAATAAGCACAGAAGAAGTGTATAAATAACCCATCATCAAGACTGATGCAAAAGCAACCATGGCCAATCTAATTTTTAGTGGAACTAAGGAAAATTCGAGCTCCATCTTTTGCTCCCAATTTCAGATTGGCCCACAAGCAATTTTGGGCCAAATATTGCTTATTTGGGTTTCTTAATGGTTCAACTAGCTTGGAAAGCAATTATCTCAGCATTACCTCTCCAAATAAAGACTTATAAAGAAGAATTAATGGCTGCTCAAGAGAATGGACAAATTTTAAAGAGTCACTACATTGAAACAAGTCGTGCACTTAATATTACCATGTTTATTTTTTAGGGACTAGTTATCTTCTTGAAGTCAGCCTAGAAATTTACTAAACTACTAAATGTTTATGTTATAACTTTCCTTTAAAAGGGGAATCCTTGTAACTTAGAAAAGAGAATTGAATGAGAATATTTGAAAGTTGCAAGTCTTTCAAAAACTTGTTAAAATCTTGTTATCTTTATCTAACTGTGGGCAGGTTAGTGGTGAGACAAGTGAGACCTTTATCAATTGAGAGGAGGGCTTGGCCTTTAATCTCAGTTGTGGTGGACTATATTTCCCGATCTTGAGTGGTGGCATAGCCTTTATCTTAGATCTTATCCTTCGTGTATCCTCCATTTTGAAACCCTATTCATCTTTGTATCCGTCACACATCAACTTGGTATCAGAGCCTAGACGCAGCCTATCCATGGATGAAATTCCAAGAAATATGACTCTTGAACGAGCCCATAATATGAGGCGTGATAGAGAGCTTACTGAATTAAGAGGCCAGATTGATGAGATACATCAAACCATTGCCCAACTTGGCCTAAGAAGAAACCGTGGACAAAGGAGACGCTCAAGAAGCCTCCATAGCACCTCCTCCTTGTCAAATTCAGACTTTAATGATTCAAGTTCCTCATCTGAAGATTCAGTTCCTCAAGCTCGTAAAAGAAGGCCTCCCAAAGATGATTTCAAATATTTGAAAGTTGAACCACCTGAGTTTGATGGAAGTTTGAATCCTGATATTTATCTAGTGTGTTTTCGTTCTATTGAACGGATATTTGAAGCCAAAGGTTATAATGATGAGAAATGCTTCAAAATTGCAAGCCTTAAACTTAAAAAGTATGCATCTATCTGGTTTGAAGATGGAGAGGAACCGAGAAGGCAAAAGGAAGCTTAAATAATGGGTCAAACTGAAAAAGGCTCATTGACAAAAGATTTATTCCAGCAAGTTACAAGTAAGATTTGTATCTTAAAGTTGCTTCTCTTAAGCAAGAAAGCCTGAGTATTGAAGAATATATA